GAGATCACAATGCCCTAACGGTTACTTTATTAAGTTTATACAAACTTTTTAACTCAGCTGCTAGACCTTGATATTTCCGAATTTTTTCTGCACAGACTGAGTTAATGTTTCCGTCATTTGGCATAGCAATATCTATAATTTCAGCCACCTTAATATTGCCGTCAATTAATACAATATCAGGTCTGTTGTGGATCACGAGATGGTCTGTTATAAACGATTGATTCCAATATAATTTTAAGCCATCTTTCTGGCAAATACCTTTGGGGCAATATTTATAGTAGGGCATTGAGTCGTTTAATAATTTAATTTTTAGACCAATCGCCTGGTGATAGACTTTGGCAACATCGTCATGTCTTTTAGGTATTCTGTACCTGCAAGAGCTCCGCAGCCTTCAGTTATGTGTTGAATGGATTCATATGTGCTTGCACAGAGCCTACATTTGTCCGATACATTCTGTTGCTTCAAGACGTGTCGCCAGTAGGATCTGGTAGCTATAACCTGGTCCTGGATTGCAGTTAAAAAACCTTCAGTCTCGGGGAACAGACTTCCTCCTACCAGCCAGCTAAAAGACAAAGATTTATCTATTTCAGTCTGCTGAAGCTGGTGAAAAAACCTTCTATGTAATGCTTTTGACTTCCATTCTTCCAGGAGATCTTTGTCGGTAATAAAGATTGGCGCAGTTTCATGAGAGGCTAATTGTAGAGCAGTGTGCCCGCGATCGAGATTATCTTATGGCACGGCACTGCACTTTGTTTAAAGTACTCCCTTAGGTTCTTTTCTTGACTTCGACAAGACTCTTCAATATTTGTAAGACCTCTCCCTCCTTCCTTTCTTGGCAGGTAAAGCCTTGCCATAGATGCAGTCGGGTGATGCATTCTGGAACCCGTCATACTTGTTCTTATTAACCTATCCAATTCCTGGAGTGACGTTGTGGACCATTTTAGAATTCCAAAGCTGTAAGATAAGGAAGGAATAACCCACGTATTTATAGCTTTTATCATTAAACCTGAAGAAAGATGTGTTCTAAGGATGATCTTTAGTCTTTTTTTAAATGAAGCTATCAATTTACATTTGACATCCTTTCTAGCTATTTTTAAATGCTGTTCTATCCCTAGATATTTATACATATCTTCTTTCTGAAGGCTCTTAACATGATATTCTTCATTAAACAAGTTTTCGGAATTATTTGGTTTTCCTTTTATAATGTGAAGAACTGTGCATTATTATTATTATATTATTTTTAGATAATACTTAGTATTTATGGAATTTTATAATCTTTTTTACCTTTAATAATCAAAATGTGATTGGGTAAGAAAGATTTTAAAAAAATTGAAAAACGAACCATTATTATTCTAAAAGAAATTAATTGCATCATCGTTTAGTAGCACGTGTTTCCTCCTCATGCCTTCACTACTTCTTGAAGACGTCTCGGCATACTTTCCACCAGTCGGGAAATGTCCCTTTGCTGGAGGATAGCCCATTCCGCCCGAAGAGCCCTTTCAAGATCCTGCAGTGTATCAGGAAGTGTTGCACACGCTCTTATTCGTCTTCCGAGGTTATCCCATAAATCCTCAATGGGGTTCAAATCAGGAGAACGTGCTGGCCAGGCTAAAACCTCAATATTATTCTGTTGAAGGAACATCTGCACTATGGGGACGACATGTGGGCGTGCATTATTGTACATCAGAATAGAACGATCGCTGATTTCGTTGAGGATAGGCAACACATGAGGTTCCAAAATCTCATTGACATAGCGAATGGCCATCAAAGACCCTCCACAAACAACAAACAATTCTGTGTGGCGCTCCATTGAAATCCCAGCCCACACCATTAAGGAACCACGTTGGAAAGGTTGTCTCTGGGAAAAATTACAGGCTGCATATCTTTTGTTTCATCTTCTCCACACCCTTTCACGCCCGTCTGGAGATCGAAGAGCGAATTTTGACTCATCTATAAAAAGTACAGCACTCCATTCATCCATAGTCTAATGGCTGTGTTCTCGAGCGAAAGCCAGCCGTGTTACTCAACTCTGGTCTTATAACTGGACGAAAAGCCATTAATCCATACTCATTTAATCTTCTTCGAGCAGTACGTTCAGAAATTTGCACACCTCGAACTTCTTCAAGCTGATGAATCGCTTGAACAACGGTAAGGTGCCGGTTTCATAAACTTCTCAAAGTCAAAAACTGGTCATCCCGTGCATCTGATACCCTAGGCTGTCTAGAACCGGGCCTTCTATTGAAAGAAGCAGTTTCCCAAAAACGCCTGACGGCGTCTCGTAAAGTTTCATATGGAACTCCGATGGCATTAGCTGCATATCTAATGGAATGTCCATCATCAATAAGTGCCACACCACTCGCAACATCCTCAGCACTAAGAGGCATTTTAAAACTTAATATTGAAAAAATTAAAAGCCGGAGACTAAGAAATGTGCTGCAAGAAACGGCACTGAACTAATGATACTGAATAAACATTTTCATTCCATATAAATTAAACATTGGAATCTAGAATCATTTCATTGAATTAAGGATTAAGGGTTATTGTCCTCTTTATTAACATTCCTAATTGAAAACAAACAAAAACATTACCTTTTATTCATTAAAAACAATAGACCAATCCAAAGCAGAAACATTTTTAGATGAAAACATGAAAAAATCAAGTGGGTGGAATTTTTTGCCTGTCAGTGTATATATTTTTTTTGTAAGAACAATATAGCCTTTTTAAATGTTTTTTTGTTGATGATATCCTTTTAAATTATATAATCGTCAACAAAATAATAAACAAAAGGGGAAAAAAAGGTCATGTATGAAAAGTGGATCTCTTTCTCAAAAGAGAAATTCCATGAGACATTCGGATCTAATTTAGATCTAAAAAAAACTTGACTACCTTCCCCTCATAAGGGTCTTCATGAAAGACTTAAATGTTGAAATGAGGGATGTTGCAATTTTGGCTGCAAATATTCAAGATTTCCAGAGCATCCGCCATAATTTTTTCGATGGTTACTTAGTGCACACAAATTTAATTTAACATAGCAATTTAATAGCAATTTTTTAATATTTTAGCAATTTTAATATAGCAATTTATTTTATAGGAATCTCTATTTTTATCATTTATTGATTAAATGTAATACAATTTTGTTATATTACGATATTGTAAAGGATTAGCTGGAACATAAATTTAATCAATGTACTTTTTTTATTTATATTTATCCAACATGAAAAAAAAAATATTCATATCAATCATTTATTTCAATTAACAATTAGCCATCAAAGTATATGAGGGGATCATATTTTCATTGGGTAATGAGTTTTCAGGGAAAAAACATATAACAGACTACAGCAAATGTAAATTGTTCATAACCTATAATTTTTATAGTTATACTTTCGAATGCGTGATGGTTTATCATCCAGACCACAGAGCCTGCAGGTAGGTGACACAGGTAACTTAGTCCAGGTTAAAGAGTTCCTTATTCAGTCGATAGTGACCCATATACAGACAGGACACACCTTATGGTGCTCCTATCCATAAATAGAAGTGATGCACTTCTCTTTGAACAGGGTCCGTCTAGAAACATCTTAGAGTGTGTTTATTTCCTAGTATACTCCTAATAGAACTTAATTGTATAGCCAACCTTAATACGTCTTTTGGCATAACTGAGGCTAATACCACGGATGGGCTTATAGAGTCTCCAATTCAGAAGAAGTGAAACCAATCACTCTATTCATATGTGTAGATTATTTTCTTATATACCCAACCTTTGGGCAAGGAGGAGATTATCAAAGATTTCTTTTGAAAAATTCCATTCAGAGACTACATGCATCATGGAATCAAGAGATTTATGAAAAAGCAACTGTAACTAACAGTCAGCGTCCAACCTGATATTCTTGGTAAGTTCCTACATTCAAATATCTTTAAATTTCTGTTTCCATATTTATATACATACATACAGACACATGCAAAACTGTAATGTTTTAAAGTTTTTTAAATTACGTTAAATAATTGGATTCCTCCATAGAAGGCTCTAGTCATTAATGAATTTTGTGTCTACAAACTAAGATTTGCTGACATCATTGGATTTTTATAACTATTTAAAGAAAAATGCTGTAGAATTGCATCAAATGTTTGCTGAAGCTTACAATGAGCATACTATGGGTTAATCACAGTGTTTTGAATGGTTTAAAGTATGTTCATGTAAGAAATGAAGGACATGTAAGTCCATAAAAAAAGATTAACAAGAGTGAATCGCTAGCATTGTTGGATGAGGATGACACTCAAACCCAACAACACCTTGCTGATCAATTGAATATAAGAGAAGCTGGTAAAATGGATTCCAAATAAAGTGAAAACAGCAAAAAAAACAAAACAGAAAACAAACTCTGAAATACTGCTCACCAGGTACAAAAGAAAATCATTTCTACATAAAATTGTAAGAGATAATGAAAAGTGGATATATTTTGAAAATCGTAAACTTCAAAGATCACGGGTAACTCTAGGTAACCCCAAATTGTAAGAAAAAGTTGTTATAGAAAGAAGACAATGAATGCTTTGTGTTTGGTGGGATAAAAATAGTGTGATCTATTAAGAGCTACTAAAACCTGGCATAACCGCCAATGCTGAACACTATCATAAACAAATGATCGACTTGATCTTCTAGATTGATAATCGAGTATTGGGTGAAAAATTACCAGAATATAAAAAAAAAACATATCAAAAGTGATTTCCTTCATGATAATGAACCATCCCATAGCAAAACAAGTGAAGGAAACAAGTGAGGTGTTCAGTTGGGAAATATTAGCATATGTGGCTTACTCATCAGACTTTGCTCTGTCTTACTACTACTTAATTGCATTAATGGGGCACACACTTGCTCAACAGTGCTTTATTTATTATAAAAATACACAAATACAACATAGATAGAAGTAAAAAATATATAAATGCTCTTATACACCAACTTTAAACAAAATTTATAAATAGTTAATGAATAAATGATAGAAACTTACAAATACAATGTATTTTGGAAGAACCATGAAGTGAGTAATGTTGCTCATAACAACCAAAATAAATGCAATGCATACAAGCCATTAATCTGTCATTATTGAAATTTTCGCAGTCAAAACAAGATACAAATGCCTAAAATAATTATTAAATCATTACATTCTAATAAATCAATCTACAATTATTTTATTATATTAACTATTATTAAACATGTATAACATTTAAGATCATATTACATATAAAGATTAATCCAGTAAGCCAAATTAGGATATCTAATTAGCTACATAAATAGATACTTATATGGTGGTTTGGTCATGAAAAGTAAAACTATATAAGTGAATAATTATGATACACATTATGGATGGGCCCAGTTGGTGAGGCATGCCCCAGTAAAGGATGTAAAGCTACGAATTTGTGCTAAAATTGAACAGAAACTCATATTACTTAAACTTAATATCAAACTTTATCAACTAAAATTTTTAAATTATTAAAACAAAAAACAAATACTAAAAATAAATAAAAAAAATATAATTTTTAAGTTAAATTATTACAATTAATACCATTAACTTAACATAAATAGAGCTGTGTCTTGGTACATCTTGAAATAATAAACCATCTGAAAAAAAATATATGCTGAAAATACAACTAGTCAAAATTCTCAAATTAAAATCTATATAGAAACTTTAACTTTAAAATTTAAATTTAAATCAAACCCCTAAGTTTCCAGGTTTGCAATCACCGACAATTTAAAAATAGGTATACAATTGCAAAACGAAGCAAGCCTAAATGAAAATTAATTTCATTAAAAATTTGAATGAAACAGAAACTCACACTAGAAAACTAAGTGTAATAAAAACAACGTTAAAAATAAAAATTTTCTAATAACCAGCTCTACTATAATATGAATAAATTAGATAACAGAGTGAACTACAATAAAATAAAAATAATAAAAACAAAACCATAATATCAGCAATAATAAATTAAAACTATCTATTGGTATAATAAAACAGTACAGGGTTTGATGGTAGAGGAGCATGTAAGAAAATACTCATATATGAATAGCTCAATTTCTATAAATAAATAAAAAATAGAGAACAACTAGTTATAAAGCAAGTTAAAAGATAAGTGGATGAAATCCAAAAAACGCAGTTGTAAAGAGAAAATTTAACTAAGACAAAAGGCAACCATTAATTTATAAATATCTACGAATTGGATTGTTAATGAATACCTAGTGTCCTAATAAATAAAAAATACTCTAGCTATACAGAACCATTAAAAAAAGGTATCAAATACAAATGTTTGAGATGGTAAGCTTTAAAACTTGATGATTTTTTTAAAGAAAACTCCAGAGCCAATACACAGCTTAGCTTTATACTGCACTGTGTTAGCAGATTAAATAAGTTAGCAATTTTGAAATTTATTTACATCAGATTATACAGAGATCACCAACTAATAGGATATCATAAGATTTCCCAGATATATAACTGGATATCTTGATGATTGATCTAAGCAAAGGAATGACCAAGTTACTCAAAGAAGTAGTACTTGTGTATGACGTTGTCAAAACAATAGTGACCAGAAAAAATCCAAGCTGTTAGAAATGAATGGGGAAATCAAAACCATTTATAAAATAAGAATGTTCACAATATTTTGTTCGACAAAATCGTATGTAAAGATTTTATTCCAAACATTTGAGTCTCTATAAAAAAAGAAGGAAAATTGCAAAGAAATTGGATGAAGCAAAGAAGGCAGAAAAAAAACCTGTACCGCTGCAACCCATGATGGGTCTTGGGTTCAGTACTATTTAAGGAAAGTACTGTTTCAAGGCCAACGGATGTGCAGGGAGGAGATCTGGCTAGGATTACGTTCAACCGCCAAGTTTTCCCCATCAATTTATTATTTTAATTAAGAGTACCCACTTTGTAGAGGCTCGGTGTGCCCCATGAGGGTCTCCTTACCCCAGGGTAACCCCACAGCCAATGAAATAGAATAAATAACTTTTCTGCCAAGAACCAGGATTCGAAACTGGGACCTTGAGCGTTGGAAGTTTAGTACTGTACCACTGAGCTAATCCACTCCCTCAAGGAAGGCAGACAAATCAAAAAGTGTCTATATACCAGATCTGGGCAAAAAGTACTTTATCATTTTAAAATATAGTATTTAAAATATTAATGATTTTGTATTTTAAATTACACTGTATTTCAATTACAAAGTATTTAAATTGTTTACAGAAAAAAATTTCAAATACAAAATACTAAAAGTATTTTGTATTTTGATTAAAAAAACAAAATACTTAGGTCCCAAGTAGTTGCACTTAACAACTGATTTCTTAAAAAAATCATTTTTTCTGCAAAGAAAAAGTTACAAGATGAGGAGCTATACCCACAGTTATAGATATTTTAAAAATAATTAATTCAGAACAAAGTATTTTTAATCAGTATTTTTCCTATATATATATTCTAAGCTAAGGAGTACGCGGGATTGATCAGGCATAACACAAGTATTTCCCTGGCATCACTCAAATTACATGATACTACTGGAGTAATAAAACGTGCTGTTAGGAACAAAAGTTTACATATACTAAACAAATTAGTTAAATTTATATTACTTTCTTATAAACTAACAACATTATTTTATTCTGAGATAATTCAAGGTAGAGAAACTATTATAGGTCAAAAATACTTTGACAATGTATGTTTTATTGTTTATAAATAAATAAACACAGCTAACCTTAGAACAAGATTCAACATACACTTTAAACATAGAATTAAATAAGGAATATTATAATGTTGAAATGAATCCAGTCTGATTCATACTATTATAAGAACCTCAGATATAGGAACCTTCAGTGTGTCCAGTATAAGATACTTGCATTTACTGATGATATTATCGGAATGATTGCTGTAACCTACAGTTCAACCAGAAGATCCTTCAAGCTGAGCAGAAGAGCTGACTATAAATATGAAAATAAATATCTCAAAAAAAAAAAAAATTTATGAGGATCAGGAGGGGATCGTGAGGACTGAATCGTTCGGCTGGGTGGAATCTGTCTGCAGCAAGTTATGAATTTTAATGGAAGACCAAGAAAGACCTGAGAAGAAGGAATCAAAGAAGTCTTTAACAGGAGGGGAATAAACTGGAGGAAGAGAAGGCAGTTGGTTCAGGACAGAGATTCTTGGGTTAGGTTCTATAGAAAGGAACCTCACACCGCAAAAATTCAACATACACTTTAAACATAAAATTAAGTGAGGAATAGTATATTGTTAGGTACTTCTCTCTTAGCGGGTAGAGTCAAAACCTTCCTTCTTATCTAATCTCGTTTCAGATAACCATCTCTTTTCAGATAACCTCCCTTATGGGTGGTCCCATAATTTAACTACAATTCAGTGGGGAAAAGAGCAGCTCAAACTATCCACCCAAACTGTCGTAGCATGGAACAAATTTTTAAGAGAAGTTTGTGCCCATGACATGTTATACAGGTCGAATAAAAAAATTGGAGGGCCTGGCAAAGTCGTCGAAGTAGACGAGAGTCTTTTTTCAAAAAGAAAAAATCATATGGGGAGAGTCTTACCTCAGCAGTGGATGTTTGGCGGAGTTTGCCGAGAAACAGACGAGTGTTTTATAGTTAAAATAAAGGATAGGAGAGCAGGGACTTTTTTAGAAGCTATCAAAAACAATGTAGAAGAGGGAAGCACGATTTATTCCGACTGTTGGAAAGGATACAACACAAAACAACTGAAAGAAGCAAACTACGACCATTTTCAGGTAAATCACACATATAATTTTGTTGATCCATCAAGTGGAGTCCATACTCAACACATCGAAAGATTATAGGGCTCAGCCAAGTGGAGAAATAAAAAACACAGAGGAACTGCCAGACAACACCTGGATTCATATTTATGTGAGTTTTTGTGGCGGCGGGCGCATAAACATCAGGATCTCTTCCTCGCTATTTTAAATACGATAAAATTATTTTCCCTACCAAAATAAAATTTTTCATATTTTGTTTCCATCGTTTATTCATAATCTTTGTTTTATATGTACATATCCTGTTAAAGTAGTTTTTTATTATTTAATCCTTTTTTGTCTATTTTTGGCCTATTTTTATTATTTCATTTATTTTTGTATATATGTTGCAATGTTTTCGTAATGTTTTTTAATTATATATTTATGTTTTGGTATATATTTATATTTTTTCGATATATATGTTTTGGTATATATTTATGTTTTTCAATATATTTATGTTTTGGTATATTTTAATATATACCTTGTGAAATAAAAGTATTTCTAAATATACGTTGTGAAATAAAAGCATTTATTATTACATTTCTTTCTGTTTTTGTTCACAATTTCAATAATATCAATACAATACAATCAATATGAATACGAACACATAATAAAATGAATATAATACAATATATACGAATACGAAGAGCTTATCAGTGTTAAGGTACTAAACATTGGCGGATAGCAGTCGGACTCTACCCGCTAAGAGAGAAGTACCTAATGTTAAAATGAATTCTAGCTGATCCATAATCAGGAATCCTGATGATCGGAAATCATATAACTATTATTCCAAGCAGGTAAAACAAAAACTGGCTACGTTTAGATCCCAATCCTATAATTCCTATCTTTCCTCACTATCTGCAAGTGATAACTCCCTCTGGAATGCAACAAAAAAAATCCTTAAATTCCAATCCATTTCCCACCCCCTCCGCCGTGATGATGGTTCCTGGGCTTCGTCAGATGAGAATAGAGCAGAAGAGTTTGCTAAACATCTATCGTACACATTCACTCCTCATCCTGAACTCCATCCCTCCCATACTGCTGAAGTTAAAGAATTCCTCTCTTCATCGATTCCTCTCTCCTTACCTCCTACAGCCGTCAACCCCTCTGAGGTCAAATTCCTTTTAAAGAACCTAAAACCTCGCAAATCTCCAGGACACGATCTCCTTACTTCCCAGATCCTCAGACAAACTCCCAAAAAAGCAATTATATTCCTTACATATCTATTCAACTGTATCCTCCGCACAACCCACTTTCCCCTGGTCTGGAAACACTCCATAATTATCCTCTTTCCTAAACCAAGTAAACCTGTTAATTATACATCATCCTATAGACCGATAAGCTTACTT